CCCGTGTCCCCTGCATCGGCAGGCGGACTCTCAACCACTGCGCCACCAGGGAAGCCCGGGACAAGGTATATTTTTGCACCAAAACTGCACATATTATCTCCAAAGTAACACTCACTCAGTAACAATATTAGCAGGATGAAAGGACAGGCCAAACCAGTTGTTCTTTCCACCTGAGACACGCACACACACATGCAAGCAGAATAAAGGTAGGTCAATTTGGCCCATGGGTTGAAGACAGATCCCTGAAGGGCAGAGGAAGACCACAAACAGGGTAGTAGATTTAATTCAGGCAAAGTAGTTCATGTGGAGAAGGAACATGGAGTTTGGAATTAACATATACACACCACTGTATGTACAATAGATAATTAACAAGGACCTACCATATATCACAGGGAATTCTACTCAATATTCTGTAATAACCTATATGGGAAAAGAATCTGAAAAGGAATAGATATATGTATATGTATACCTGAATCACTTTGCTGTACACCTGAAACTAACACAACATTGTAAATCAACTATACTCCAAAAACAAAAAAAAACAAAGTAGTCCGTGTGTGTGTTTGTTTGCTTTGCTTGTTGAACAGTTAAACGAACAGTTTAACTTTGGCCACATACTTCCCCAAATTCCTGGAGATGGAAGAAAACTTTTATGAGCAGTGGATTCTCCAACCATCTCTCCCTATTCCTATGGGAGCCCAGAAGGTCTGAGCTCACCTGCGATCTGTGCGGGTTCCCGGGTTCAGTTGGCAGACAGTCGGAGTGTGTGAACGAGTCGTTTTAAATAACAATCAATGCTTTGTAGAGTGCTTTACAGTTTACAAGTCCTTTTCCATACACTGTACCACCTGCCTGGAACTGGCTGTGTCATCTGTGGGGCCAGTGCAAGATGAAAAGGCAAGCCCTCATTTACAAATGTTTAGGAATCTCAGGATGGCAACAGCGGAGCATTAAGCCAAGCACAGGGCACTGTGTGGCTGCCTGTAAAACTGGCCCTGCTCCCGCTGACACTCAGAAATGACCATTTGAAACATATGTACACCCCATTGCCTCCTACACCGAAGATGCTCCCCTCTCGCCCCTCCACCTCTGTAAAGCAGCAGCAAATTACAAACACACAACGCAAACTGGCTTAAACAATAAGGAAACGTATTGGATCACGTGACTGGCGGTCAAGAGAAAGGTTGGGCTTCAGGATCTGCCCAGTCCACGGGCTCTGGCTATTTCCCTGGTTTGCTCTGGGTTCTGCCCACTTGGGCGGTAACATGATCCTCCAACTGGAAGCAAGAATGGCTGCAGCAGCTCTGGGCCCCCCACCCCGCACTGTGTGCCACAATGTCCCAAGGAAGAAAAACCACCTTCCTCCATGCCTCTCTGCTGAGAACAAGGACATTTCCACCCCAGCAGTGCTCTGCTCATCTCCCCTGATTTATAAACCCACCCCTGGACCAATCCCTGCACAGAGGAATGCTGTGTGCTGACCCAACCTTGGATCCTTTGACCAAGAAGTGGCAAGGGTCAGGGAAATGAAAATACCTCTATTGGCTTCAGCAGCCCCTTCCCGGTCCAGCTGAGGTCCAGCCCCTGAACCACATGGCTGCTCCACAGTGGAGGGTGTTGCAGAGACCCTGCCCACATCCCTTGGTGAAAGCGGCCACGGGCAGCCATGTGTTCTAGCACATGACATTGACCTCTAGCTATATCTGATTGGACCATGGGTACCCTGACCTGGAGACCACCAATCCATTGGCTATACATGGCCCTGTAGGGAAAGATGAATTAGGCTAGATTGTTGCTCTGGGCATTTGAAGGTAGAAACTCTAGGACTGATCCACTGACAGATGAATGGATAAAGAAGATGTATTATATATTCCATATATACAATGGAATACTACTCAGCTGTAAAAAAGAATGAAATGATGCCATTTTCAGCAACATGGAGAGAACTAGAGATTATCATACTAAGTGAAGTGAGTCAGACAGAGAAATACCATATGATATCACTTTTATGTGGAATCTAAAATATGACACAAATGAACCTATCCAGGAAACAGAAACAGACTCACAGACATAGAGAACAGACTTGTGGGTGCCAAGGGGGAGGGGAGTGGGGGAGGGGTGAGCTGGGAGTTTGGGATCAGAAGATGAAAACTACTGTGTATAGAATAGATAAAAGACAAGGTCCTACTGTACAGCAAAGGGAGCTATATTCAATATCCTGTGATAAAGCATAATGGAAAAGAATACGAAGAAGAATGTATAAGTGAATCACTTTGCTGTACGGCAGAAATTAAGACAACGTTGTAAATCAACTATATACTTCAATAATTTTTTTTTTAAAAAAGCAAAAAAAAAAAAAATAGGGTCGAAGGAAATTTGCTATTTAACAAAAGAGAAACTACAGGGCTGTGAGAAGAGGACCGGTAATGTGCAAAGTTGAAGTTTAAACATGGCAACAGAGAAAGAAGTCGGAGAGGCCACAGTGGGTCTTGTGCAAATGAAGGGATGAGGGAGAAGAAAGTGTGGATAAGCAGAAACCATAGAGGAGAGAAAAGATGTCGACTAAAGGGCGAGAAGCACGAGAGGGGAACAGAGAGGCCCTGCATGGCCTGGCTGACTCATGTTAATGGCAGTAACCAGAGTAAAACCTACAAACTGCTGCTCCTGAGATCCCTAGGGCAGCCCCGGGTCAGAACGGCCGGCTCGCTGCTGGAATTCTTGAGTCTGTGTGCCTAGCTTTTCCTGGGCTCCTTGCCCCGGCATAGGCGGCTCCTTCCTTTCCCACCCCCATTCTTTGAGTGTTTTTGTTTTTTCTTACCACCAAAGGAGTCCTGTCTCAAACAAGAAATCTTAGATTTAACTGCACTTGTCAGCTGAGTGAGAGGCAAGAAATACATGAAAATAGCCATTCATTCATTCATTCTTTCTTTCTTTTTTCTTTCTCTCTTTCTTTCATACTGAGAACCCTATACTCCAAGCTACTCCACCAGACTTTGAGGACATCGGCAATGTACTGTGGTCCTTCTCAGGGACATCGCAGTCGGGTTGGGGGAAGGGAGAAGGAGGCAGACAGGTAAACAAGTAATAATGCTGTGATGTGACTGGCATGATCGGGAGAGGAAGGAAATGATGGAAATGGTCCCGAAAACTCAGCCACCTCAGAGGGAAGTGTGTCCAAAGCTTAAACCACATTCGAAATTTATGCTCTGAGCGAAGATGAGATGTAAATGTCTTTGTTTTATTTGTTTGTTTTTGAAATTTATTTATTTTTGGCTGCGTTGGGTCTTCGTTGCTGCGAGCCAGCTTTCTCTAGTTGCGGCGAGCGGGGGCTACTCTTCATTGCGGTGCGCGGGCTTCTCATTGCAGTGGCTTCTTGTGTTGTGGAGCAGAGGCTCTAGGCACACGGACTTCAGTAGCTGTGGCTCGCGGGCTCAGTAGTTGTGGTGCACGGGCGGCACGTGGGATCTTCCCGGACCAGGGATCGAACCCTTGTCCCCTGCATTGGCAGGCGGATTCTTAACCACCGGACCAGCGGGGAAGTCCAAGATGTAAATGTCTGATAATAAACAAGCATATGGCAGATTTATTTCATTTCCTCTCCCCACTGTTTCCCCTGGATCTGTAATCCTTCCACTCCCACGAAAGGGAAAAACAAACAAACCAGGTTTATCCTGAGAGGTTTGCACAGATTAGTTCTTACAGTGGGTTGAAGCCCACAGAAGTATAGCTTGTAGGTACTAATAACTGTGATAACCAGAGCCATATTCATGGTAACTGATCAGAAACATAGGAAATCTATGGCATAGGAATCCCTGATGAAACAGAGTAATCGGAATAGTTGATACTGACATAAATCTAGCTATGGAATTTTATGAGGAAAAGAATTATACCTGCAGAGAGAAGGAAGGGGTTCACATATCAACATAACATCCATCTGCGTCAGAACAAATAACTTCACCTTGATTCCAAGGGAACTGTCCTTTTTCTGAAAAAGTCCAGGGATCTGAGACTCAAAAGCTGTGTGTTGATTGGTAGGGTGGGGTAGGCGAGCAGAGAACAAGGGAAAACGTGTGTATTTCTCTGGGGGGAGGGAGAAGATATAGCCACATTTTCCTGACTCACTCCATGGGCATTCAATAAATCTACTGCAGATTC